GGGGGGCGCGCCCTGCCCCGGCATCGGCTCGGCGGCTGGCGAGGTCCCGGCGGGCCGGGAGGGGGAACCGGGGGCTGCTGAGGGCTCGAGGGGAACGAAAAATCTCGTCAGGCAGCCGGCGTGCGCGCCCGGACCAGAACCCGGAACCGACAGGAAGGGAGCGACACCCAGGGCCCCCTCCTGAAGCGGCCTTCGCGTTAACGCCTGGAAACGGCTTCGGAAGCGCCGATGGGATTCCCCTCCATCCGCAGCATCCCGCTCTTCGCTCTTCGGCTGGCAGCGGTGTTCGGGAAGGAGCTGAATTCCCTTCCCTCTGTGTCAGCAATGAGAGGGCTGTTCACCGAGCCAGTGAATTCGCTTAATTGCAGGGCTGTTTTCAACACGCTGCAGCAGCTCTCAATTCTAAATGTATAAAGCGCTAAAAACCTCATTTCTTCTTACAGAAAAGTTCATCCAAAATAGCGTTAGCAACAGCACCAAGACCGCCTTCACTCCCACCCTTTTCAAACCAGACAGCTCCAGCTGACGAGCACGGCCGAGGCAGAGCCCCCTCCTCCAGCTCTAGCCTTCACCTGAGACCCCAGGACATCACACAGCAAATTCCGTGCTCTTTGGCCACAACACACCTGGTGAACCTCCAAAATGTCATCCTTTTCTGTCAAATTCATAAGACAGCTTAAAAAACATCATTTAAGAGGATCACAGAAAGAGACTCATGGCCAGAAATAGCTTACTTCAAATGTCTGATAAAATATTACATATATGCAGCGCACACAATGAACACGTTCATGTAAAACCACGAACACATCCAAGTAAGTGTTAAAGATCAGTGGAAGAGAGATAAAGATCAGTGGAAGAGACAGAAGTAGAATGGCCATTAGATGCATGCTTTCAGGATTGCACCACTCTTTCTAATGTTGACTGAAATTCCTTTATGGGGAAAAAGTCTTCAGTTTTCTTAAAAGTAAAAAAAAGGTATAAAAAGCTTTTTCATTTAGTGGAAATATTTTTTACATAGCCAACATCAAAACATGAGAATGAATATTTAAACCCTAACCAGACACACTGTACCAAGACTTTCTAAAGGAGAAGACACGACGATAGGTTTAATTTTAGCAGTTCTTTAATGGTGTCAAACAGGAAACCATCTATTCTTGCATCTTTTCGATTGTTTCTTCCTTGTATTTGCCCTTCTCCTTGCCGACCTGGCGAGATTTTGCTTTACGCTCCAAGATCTTTTTGCGATCTTTGTCCAGCTTTAGCCTAGTGATCACCACCTAGAGAAAGGATAAAGAGTTTAGTGTCTCTTCAGCGTAACAGCACAGCAGCCTGACACAACGGTGGTAAGACAGCACGGCCCAGGAAGATCTGCTCTGGCACTCGAGTGTCATTGCCCTGGACTCTCTCATTCGGTTTGAGCGGAACTGAGGTACCGAATTGCCCCCGGATTTCACAGTTTTCCCAGGTACGCTCAGGGACCAGAGTATATTGACAGTTCCTTCGATGCACAGCCAAAACACTTGCACAAACTGAAGAGCAGCCAAATTTCTATTTATCTACATAATAATTACTTTGAAGTAATCTAATTTCCATTACGCTGCTCAAACATGACGGATGCCACATCCACCTGAAACACAGCGTAGAGCTGATCCCACCACCACAAAGGCAAGTAATGGATCACTATTTTAATTTCTCCATGTTTTAAACAATATTACCTAAATTTTGGAACACTGGAAAACCACGCTGCTGCCGCTGGCCACTATCGTATCACGGCCGTACTGCCTGGAATCGCCAATGCACCTGGCTAACTACGGGCAGCAGCAGCAGTTCATGCACCGTAGCGACTCATAGAAAGACATTCTGAAGAACACATGGGCTACTGAACCGTTGCGAAGCGGCCAGGCAATTACCACGTGTTACTAACACGGACACACAAAAGGTGAATCGCACAGACCATTTGCTGCCACAGCCTGAACGGTATTTCTAACAAAGCAGCAGAAGCAAACTTTCAGCGCATCAGCAGCCTTCAGTGCTCTCTGTGCCCCTCAAACCAGCAAAGAAAGAAATGTGGCGATATTGCTGGAAGGAGTACTTAAAAATACAACTGACAATCAAATCCTAGAAACACCACATAGGCTGCAGCAGGGCTGCGCACTCCTCAGTTCCACTGTGCGTTTAGGTCTCTCTTAATTGTAGTTAACTCCTACCTCTTTAGCTAGGAGAGGTAGGAACTGTTCCTCCACCCCACTGCAAGTTTGCAACAAACGAAACGTTCTTCTGTACGTTTTGCATTAACAACCAGAATCTTTATGCAAAGCTTTATCGAGGTCTGATTCCCAATTAAAGAAAACTTTCACAGAAATAAAGGACCAGCACAAAATTCCGTTTCTTTCACTACTGTTTACCACACGAGTCGTTCGCACGCTGGCTCCATCGCAATGTCACCTTGTCCGTCAGATGTTATTACTGCACACAAGCCATTGCGGTGTTTTGGAATAATTCTGCTCTCCCTCCGCCGAACACACCAACCGTTTAGACCAGAAAACCTGCTACAACTGGATTTCTTCCACCAACGCTTCAGTATGCGTGCCCACGTGGCAAGGCTGAAGCAGACTGATTTCATCTGCTTCCAACCAGGTTTTGGCTAGTTGCTCTGTTAGTTTGAAAGGTTTTCCTATTATGATCTAAACAGGCTTTGCCTACTTTTCACGAACTCTGTAAATCACTTCAGGCTAAAACCAGGCTCAGAAGAACTTAGTTCACAATAGCCCGCAAGAACAAATCACGATTCTGGGCACCTGTCTAACCATTTCTAACACCTCCCTAACCAGTGCAAATGCCACACAGCAAAGATGAAGGATTCTTCTAAACCACCTGTTTTGTGCTTTAACACCACCAAGTTCTTCAAAAAAGTATTTTAGCAAGACGCTAAAGCCTCTAGCGGCTTCTCCACCAAATAAGCCCTAGAAACGTCGAGGCGTTCTTGGTTCCAACTGTCGCTTCTCTACCATCACAACACCTTGACATTTCCTTGTTCATTACCCCCCAAGGCGGCCGTATCTCAATCCACTATTCCACGTCGGCGCTGGCCAGCCAGGCCTCCTCACGCCCTTCGCGCCTCGCTTCGCGCCGTACCTTGCTGGGATGGATCCCCACGTGGACAGTTGTGCCGTTGGCCTTC